CACGAGGGAGGGCATCGGGACCGAGGGTTACAGCACTACCGGTATACGTCGGAGGCAAGCGAGTGGCCCAAAGAGAACATCCTACATCGGAGAAAGCAAAGGAAATCTGGCCATTGAATAGATGCACGCCATTTTCATCCAACGTAATCCTCTGCCTACGCTGCGTATGGTGCAGAGAAACCAGATTGAACGTGATGCCGGGGACTACGTACACGTCCGACATCTGCACGCAAAAATCGGTCTCGCCCGAAGGGCCAGGTATGTGAAATGCCATGTTGATGCTACCAACACATTGCACGCGCAGATAGGCACCATTCCCTACTTGGATGAACTTTCTTTCTGCTGGAATCGGCTTCATGTCAAACATGTTTTCGCTACTGCTGACAAACGTGTTGCTTGCGCCGCTGTCGGCCCAAAATTGCTCTCTACCAATCTGCGAAGGGCGACTCTGAACAGACAAAGCGAAACCACTACCATTCTCACGCGCTACCACACTTGGAAAGATCTCGCCTTGTGACTCAAAACGTGTCTTGAGGAAGTGAAGATGCCCAGGGGATCCGGCTGCGTCGGGAGGAGGCGAATGGGACGGGGCATGGGTCGAGTGCTGCTGCGGCTGCGGCTGCTGCTGGAACGACGGCGGTGGCTGCTGCTGCTGCTGCTGGTAGTACGTTGTCGGAGGCGGGTAATACGGCTGCTGCTGGAAGCTCTAGTCTGGCAAAGGTTGCTGATACTGTGGGTGATGCTCCCACCCCCTATACTCGTTACCATACGCGTTCCCCTCGTGGGCGCGGCACCATACGGTTCACTTACATTTGCATGCCCGTAAGGGGGTCGCTGCTGCTGCTGCGGTGTACGAGGGGGCGCTGGATGTCCATGATGCTGCTGTCCTCCGTAGTCGCCGTGAGGCCCGTGCCGGGGCCCACCCCCCCAGCCCCCCCCACTGCGGCTCGGCTGCTGCGGCGGCGGTCCCCGAGGTTGCTGTTGCTGCTGAGACAGCTGCTGTTCAGGGGCCTGTTGCTGTCGTTGGGGCTGCTGCTGTTGCTGAGGCTGCTGTCGTTGCTGAGGCAGCTGCTGCTTGGTCTCCTGCTTCTTCCGTTGCCGACGCTGGGTGTAGCACTCGCTGTTGGTGTGCGACGAGTACGGATGATAGTCGCAGAGCCTGTCTCCGCCCGCCCTGTTGTTGCTGCTCCGACCGCCTCCATTGCCGTCCTGACACCCGCCGTTCCCACTGGACCCATTTTGGACACGTCCGTCGCCCCGGTTCCCACCGGCAGCGACGAAAGCGTGCCTCGCGCCATTCTGCGGCTCCCCCTCCCGTGCGGTCACCATATCCTGATGGGCATCTTTCACCACCTTTTTAAGGTGCTGACGGGTCAAATTGGGGGGCGGAAGGGCACGCAGCATAGCTTTCTCCATCTTGTACTCAGAAGACAAGTTGTACAGAACGTGCGAATTGGCATCATCGTCGGGGTATGTGACGCCGTGTGAGGCTAACCTACTGCGCTGTACAGCAAATCTGTCAAAGTATCCCTGCGGACTTTCACCCACTCGCATTTTTATGGCATGGTATTCCGAAATCAACCGTATTTTTTCTGCTCCCGCCTGGGGTTCGTAGTATGCTAGAAATAGTTTCCAACCCCCACTGGGACTACCATCAGCGATAATCTGGGTCAAGACAGGCATGTAGGTGATTGTCGTGATGATCAAGTTCCACGCCGTGATCGCCTTTTCTACCGTTTCAGGCGAGTGCATCCTACGCAAGTACTCCATATATTCTCCTTCTAGCCCGACTGGAATTCCGTGGTCACTCAATACCACTTCCCTGACTCCTTCTTCGCAAACATAGCAATTATTCTCGATCGAAAAATCAAAAACCTTGCCTGTTCATCCTTCCCTTGCCTATACATACCATCTCACGGCGCGAGGCGCTTAACCTCAGTCATCCTAAGAGTCGCTACGCTACTTGGTACTCTACCCGTGTCTGCGGGTGATATCTGAAGACGGCTGGTCAGGGCGTCGGCGAGAGTGCGGGCGATGTCGTCTGCGGACGGGCCGGCCGATGGTCGCCCCGCATGTTGCTGGTGGCGTGTCTCGTTCCCGCTCCGGACGTGATCTGTCCTCTGCTGCTGCTCGTCTTGCCGCCTTGTAATCTCGGCCAGTCTCGCTGCTACCCTCTCGTTCACCAACTCGTTGATCCGGGCGCCGTCGTCCACTGCTTGACGGTCGCTCTCTCGGTCTCGGTTTCGGTCGGGGGTGCTCATCGGTGACTGCTGCTGATCGCCGCAAAGCGATGTAACTCCAAACTAAGCTCGACGCGAATATCGTTGACGACGTGTCATACGCTAGCGTGATCGATAATTCGGGTGGCTCAGTTCTGTGTGTTGGGAGTGTAGAGCAGCTGGGCCATGATGGGCCGTGGTAGGGGAGGGACGTATAGGAAAACGTGTTGAATTCTTCGGGGGCGTGCTCGTGCTCGTAAATCTGTCACGGCATCAAGCACGCGTCACGCTCATCACGCTCAAACTACCAAACGGATCTCTCTGATTCCTCCGTATCTCATCACTGCAATTTCTGTGCGTACGTACAGAAGATCTTACCCGTCATACTATGCTACGAGTACCCCCAATATATCTATTAATAATAGCGGACAGTCGCAAGCACGAGGTTGTGGTCAGAGTCCTTGAAGTCGACACGTCGGAGACATTACGCATGAAACGCCGGTCCGTCTGACGCATGAAGATGAAGTCGAGGCGGTACTTTTCCTTCCCCTTGTTGGAGCTCTGAAATGAGTGCTGCACTCTACCTTTCGGTGTTCGGAAGTAGGTGTTGGTCAGGGAGAGTTGGTTGTCTGATGCCAGTCCAAGGAGTCGTTCCCCGTTGTTGTTCATAATGTCGCGTCCGTACGCGCCCATAATCTTGGCATCGCAGCACCCGTCTCGCCTCCTATCAGTGCGTGCGTTGGCGTCCACTAGCACCATGAGATGGTCAAGGCTGTGAACCTCCCGGATCGCTGCGTCGAAAGAAGTTTAGAAGGAGTCCTTGGCGTTAACAATACGCCCGCGGTGGTGCGGACAGTTTCTGTGGGGGCGTACCCCACCACGAAAGTTACTCCGTACGGGGGGCCAATTTGTAGACCCACCTTCATCAGCCACGGGCTAATGCACTCCACCGTCCTACCTTCCTCGCCCACACTCTCCCACATGGCATCCTTGATCGCTATGTCCACACCGTGTACGCCCCTCTTGTCCTTGGCGCCAGCACGGGCGCCACTCCAGATGATCACGTACCCGTCGTGTGCAATTGAACTTGCCCCTCTCGTCGGGTCTCCTAAAGTCCGACCACAACACTACTGGTCGCCCCGGTGGTCTAGTGGTATCCTCGTAATCCGCTAGTTGCAGAGGTCGTGAGTTCGAATCCCCATGGGGTGAAAAATTTACGAAATTTGCGGGTGAAAGCGAAATATAGCTAAAAAACGCTCTCGTGAGTACCAAACTTCGACGTTAGGGAAACGGACGGCTGGACCCTTCTCGCGATAGAAATAACATTCAGCACGCACGGCAGGAGGAAGATGGGGCATGAAAAGAAATAAAAAGAAGAAAAAAGCCCTGGTGTTTACCCCCCTCCTGTGTGACCCTGGATGGTTGCATTTGTACGAAAAAATATACTGGAAAGTGTAGTACTCTACATACGCTGAGAAGTGTAGCACACGTCTCACCACGAAAAATGGGGAGATTGCTGTCGCCATAATCAATAGGACGAAAACACAACACACATCACAGCCGGTCGCGGAACAAATCTGCATGACCGTCATCACGTTGTGACCGATGGGGTTCTTACCGCTGTAGGCGAGCGTGCGTAAGTTGAACGTGCCGAACGATAGGTCGCCCTCTCGTGCCTTCTTTTTCGCAGCCGCCTTGACGGCCGCTGCGGTCTCGTGTCCTCTCGGTCCGCCTCGCGTTGCGGGTGTGCTTTCTTCCGTATTTTCCGAGGGGCGAGTTTTCTCGCATTAATCCGTCTCTGCAGAACTCGGTTTTTGCCTGTGGTGTTTTGACGAGGAGGGTGCAGCACTCCCTCCCCGCGGTGCCCGCGTTTGTCTCCCTTCTCCCGCGAGCGGTGCTTACTGACGTGGTGTTTACGAATCTCTCTACTCCTCCAGCTTCGTGGGCCACGCTTTCTGCAACGGTGGTTGCCAGGTGCAGTAGTTTGCTGCTTTGCATTACTTCTCCCTTCTTCCCCTCGCTCCNCGCTGTAGGCGAGCGTGCGTACGTTGAACGTGCCGAACGATAGGTCGCCCTCTCGTGCCTTCTTTTTCGCAGCCGCCTTGACGGCCGCTGCGGTCTCGTGTCCTCTCGGTCCGCCTCGCGTTGCGGGTGTGCTTTCTTCCGTATTTTCCGAGGGGCGAGTTTTCTCGCATTAATCCGTCTCTGCAGAACTCGGTTTTTGCCTGTGGTGTTTTGACGAGGAGGGTGCAGCACTCCNGTTTCCTCGCATCAATCCATCTCTGCAGAGCTCGGTTCTTGCCTGTGGTGTTTTGACGAGGAGGGTGCAGCACTCCCTCCCCGCGGTGCCCGCGGTCGTCTCCCTTCTCCCGCGAGCGGTGCTTACTGACGTGGTGTTTACGAATCTCTCTACTCCTCCAGCTTCGTGGGCCACGCTTTCTGCAACGGTGGTTGCCAGGTGCAGTAGTTTGCTGCTTTGCATTACTTCTCCCTTCTTCCCCTCGCTCCTCGACAAGCTTTTGCTTAGACATGGGTTGTAGTGAAGGGGGGGGTCTTTCTGGCGAGCAGGGCTAGATTCACCCTCATGGGATGACCGAAACCTCCTTGCTGCTGCGCATATCCGCCGCGAGGCATGCGCGTGGTGGTGTAGTTGGGTCGGCACTGATGGGGTCAGGCGAAAAAATGTAGATGCGCGGGCCTCTGGCCGTCGGCGTAGGCAGCGATGCCCATCTCATTTTTTGTGCGCGGAGGCAGACACCGTCAGAAGGTGGACGGGAACTATGTACACGGCCCTAGGTTGGCTAGAGGGCGCTGCATTGCCTCAGTAACCTGGCTTCGCCATCAAAGGAGGAGGGAGCAGGTGGCGACGAGCTGAACTGGGCTGGTTGACCCCTTCGGCGCGAGAATTTTTATTTTTCAGACCAAGAACCTTGAGTGCAACGAGGGAGAAAGCGAGGAACCGACTGGGAAGGACAGCAACGGGAGCGTGTACGGACGGAGCAGGTCGAGTGGCGTTATGCTCGGGCTGACTACAGCGGCGCCGGACGGAGCAGCGGCACCGGAGCATGCGGGCGACATCGACCCGTGGCGCACGGACAAACATTCATATCTTATCTCTGTTGTCAATTTTTCTCGTTTATTTCCTGATTTTCGGTGTTGGTTC